TATACGCTGAGTATGTGATAGCCATTGGAATGTTTTGACTCAGTGCGCATTTGGACCACTTGAGCCATCTCGCCGGCCAACATGCGACAACTTAAGTCGTCTACTTATTTACCAGCCTCGAAAGGATGGACGGCTGGGTAGGTCGGGGGTCGGCTACCTGAATGAACCTTTAGAAACTGCAGGATTCGAACCCGGGTCGTGGGAGTGATAAACGGACATAATCTTCGTTAAGGAATTTACGTTTAAGACAGTTCGTCGGTGTCTTTGATTTGGCCTAGATGAGGTTCTTAAGTTATTCCAATTTAGGCTACATGTCGCCAAATATTTGCATCAAAGTATTACAGTTCGAAAAAATTTCCAACGGAAAACTTTAAATTGTTTATTATTGCATATAAGAGAGGGGAGATGGATCATTAACTCTTTTATTAAATTTTAAATTCCAATAAAAATTTCTTAGTACGAAGCTAGCAATGAAATGGATTTTGTTTTTTTTTCATAAATGAACAATTTATTTATTTATACAAATAATACTAGATTACATCAAAATAAACAGAAAATAGTAATGATCAGACATGAAAAAATGAACAAATCATTTAATATATTGATTACATATTAAACGTTTATAGTGAGTTGACATAAAAATATAAACAATGACTAATCATATTTTCACTACATTTATTTACACACACACAGACAGACACGCACACGGACACAAACACACACAATTAGAAAAAAACTCCAAACGATCACAATCATTAGACAAAAAAAATACTTTATTCATTTACCGAAAAAACTTGATAAATTACAAGCGATTTTTTAAAGAACGATAACCTGGCCACAATATTGATTAAGAGATGATAATGAAAACTGAATTAATGTTTAAAATTTATGAAGAAAATAAATTTTTTTTTTACAATTTATGAAGAAAATAAATTTTTTTAAAAATAGAACACAAGTGGGAATAGCTCAGACTGTTAGTTGGCTCATTAGGCTTTCAACAGAAAAAGACTTAACGTTATCGTTTGGAGAAACTTTTCACGTTTTTTGTTGCTGAATCTTAACAAACCAAATCTCACCCAAAATTGATAATTAGATAAAGTATAAGTAAAAAAAGGCACAATAGATATTTTAAGAATAAGTTAAAAACAAAATGCCTATTTCTTCAACATCAAATTTTAAATTGATTAATAGTAATTAAATTTCATTATCACTTTCAGTACTACAGTCATTATGACCATCATCCTCATTTGGTAACACTTGTTGTTGGATATCCATGCGAATATCAGAATATATTGAGTTTTTTTCTTCTAAGGTAACAAATGACAAATGTTTAAATGCAGGACAGAGGACTGTTGCAGTTTTATGTATAGGATGTAAGGTATATTTTTCTTTCAAGGATTTTTCAAATGCTGATTCACTTCACTTTCAAATGCTGATTCAAACCACTTCACTATCCATTGTTTTACGTTTGCAAGATGACAACAGACGATCAAGCATAGGCCAGACAAGGTGAATTGTTGGCTCCTTGGATTTAGATAGCATAACGGTCGCTTCATGAAAGTCGTGCAGAAAATCAACTATAACTTGCATGTCGGCTTTATTCAAATTCAATAAATGCTCAAGTTTTTCATACTGCTTTTCATTTTCCAAGATAGTCACAACATCCTCGTATTCATTGAGCAAAGATTGCAACATAAAATATTGGCTATTCCAGCGCTTAGACACATCCTGTTTTAAAGTGTGCTTTAGTTCCTTATTATGGCCAGAATGTTTAAAATAACCAACAACTTCTCTAGCGATTTTTATCATTTGTACACATTCACCGACATAATCAGACTTCAAAGCATTCTCAACAACTAGGTTGAGGTTGTGAGCAGCACAACTTATCCGTACATCATTCCTATAAGCAGCTTTCATATTGGAACCATTATCGGTTACAAACACAATGTCACATTTTGATTCATCTCCCAGAAAAGATGCCAGCAGCCAATTAGTTTTAGTTTTGACAGCTAATGCTTTTTTGGCTTCTGGGAATTCGTACAATCCGAGGCACTTTTCAATCAAATGAAACTGTGATGAAGTGCACAGTAAAACCTTGGTATGAATTTTTTACCATATCATCACACCAATGGTCAGTTGTAATAGCAAGATATTTCAATTTTTTCAGCATATCTTTTATTACATCCTTACATACATTGTATTCAGCTGTAAGATGTGCCCCAGCAAGCGTTGTTCTGTCATATAAAATGTCTTCAATGTTCAAAACTCCATACCGTGCACCTATGTTTATAAAATGTTGTGCTATAGACCTGAAGCCTGAGTCCTCCACTACACTAAATGGCTGTAGGTCTTGTGCAATCATAAACAAACATTTTTTGGACGTTTCTTTCCGCACCTGAATAAAAAAAATACATATTCGAAAATGTAATTCACATTAACATCAACTAAGTCAAATTACTTATTTTTTAATTTGTCGTCAATTGAAAATTAACCAGGGAAAGTCATGACGCATATAAGTTAAGTTTATTTATAACTTACTATGCTATCGCATAGCATTAGTATTTTATTCTATACTATTAAATAGTTCATTAGCCTCTGATCTAGACATACCTTACAATATTCAATATATAAGTTATATACTAATTACTAACCTTTTCTGGAATATTCTTTGACTGAACAAACGATTTTATGGTCGACTGTTTGCTACCTGGTGTAATTAAGAGTTTCGATTTGACGTGGGACTCATGATGGCGATTCAATGTTTGAGTAGTTCCAACTGGTACAGACAAAACCATGCTACACACTTTACATATTCCAAACGTCTTTAAAACTTCACCATCAACTTTAGCAGCCCAAAAATTTCCTTGCCAATGCTTGCTTTTTGTTCAAACTGGTTCTACTTTTTCAAATTTTGTAACATCGTCACATTTCATTAGTTTTTCAATCTCTTCCTTTTTTATTCTATCGCACGTGGCCATCTTGTTTATAATAAATGTTCCGATTAAGATTAAAAGTAAGATTAGGGATGTGCGTAAGCATAGAATAAAATTTTAAAATTTTACTTTAATATATCTTTGGAAATGTGCATATATGTAAATAATTTATTTTCCGCCCGTTTCATTTTTAAACTCTAAAAGTTAAATAATTAAATAATTGATTGGGAAAGAACTTTGAAATATGGGTTCTGTATCGGTTCGAGTTCTTAACTAACCTGAGTTCGGTTCTGTTCCAGTTCTTTGAAAAAAAAAATAATGACGGTTCGGGTTCTAGATCGGTTCTTCAAAAATATGGGTTCTAGTTCGGTTCTTTCGAACTGGGTTCGGGTTCTTTCCCATCTCTATATTTAATATTGAGTCACAATAGATGAAAAAATATATAAGATCTTGTTTCGATTCTAAAAGAAAATAAAAAAAATAATATGTTTATTTGAAGTTTTTTGGTAAAGTTACCAAATGTACCACAAAATTCTGATCTGATTAACAATTCTTTTTTCATATATATTTGGAAATTAATTGGAGATAGGAGATTTCTTCAGGCAGTTAACAACTAATCCTCTAAAGACCGATGAAACTATAAAATTTACTGGTCCGTTTGCAAATTACGACAAGACGGTTTCATTTGCAACGCTTTAAAATTCCCTATCCCTTAAACCTTTACATCAAGCCTTTGTTAAAATACTCTTAGAGATATT